TCTCTATTCTTTGGCAGTGTGCCGAATGCATTCTCCATTCTGTGCTGGTTTTCCTCCTCACTTCTGAGCTTTATCTTCCAGATTTTTGTTGACCTCCTATGTATTTTGTGTTATCGTCTGGTTTCTCAGCTACTGTTATTATTGATGTATCAGTTTGGTTTGGGTTTTTTTTCAGAATAGAGTCTGTGTGTTTTTTATAGTTCTGCACACCAATCTTGCATTTTATAATTGGTACTGCAATGAGCAATTGTTAGCTGTAGATGCTGTTGTCTGTTCGACAATTTGCAATATTTTTTTTTTCGGTTTCTAGGAGCCAGAGTGATTAAGGTGTGTAGCTAAAATTTGTCCCATGCTATAGATAAAGTCCCATAATGTTTTAGGTGTGTTTGGACATTTTTTTTGTTTTGTTTTGTTTTTCACTAGCAAAATCTGCTTTATCATTTTGAGTATAGAAAGGGAACTGATTGCAATAAAAGCAGAACGAGATTTATAGTATGTTCTTATAAATAAAGCCACGCTGCTCTGCCAAATTATGTAAGACATGGCATGTTGCATTGTTCTGTTCTCATAATCTATGGTGCCATATGGACTTAAAAAAGTAGGACTATTATATGGGTTTCTGCAGCATAATTGGCATTGACATTTATATTGATTGAATAAATGAAATAACATGCACAGTTCTGACAATCTTAGCAGATTTGTAAGATTACAGCAGTGATGATTCCATGTCAGCAAAAAAGTCTTTAGGAATTCAAAATGAAGCCACAGCCAGTTCATTAATATACATATGTTTGAAACTGTAGCCCTAACAATTGAGTTCTCTGCACTGAACGCTATAATATATATTGTCATGAGCTATATGCCCTCAGATCGTTTCTGTGAATTACAAGAAAATTACGGAGAGGAGAACATTTTATTATTGTGCTTTTCATCCAGGGATACAGCCTTTCACTGAGGAAAATTGAAAACACTGAAAATTAAAATGTAAATGCATTTATCAAAAGAAGAGGAAAAAATTGAATCCTGAACTTTAACTGCTTTTGCATTTTACTTCTTCAAAAAGCAATTTTGATACTTACATCTCAAAAGGACAAGTAGTCAGGCTCTGTAATATCTATTTGGATTCTTACTAATAAGTGACTGGCTGTTCGTTGCTGTGGGTTTGAAGATTTGTTTTAGTAAAACAGCATGGAAAGCTGTGTGTGCATTTATTTGTGTGATTGCATACTCTGAGAGATAAACAAAATAATTATACATTTATTTAGTGTTTCTCTTCTTTCTGTTAAACATGTTCTTTTTTGTGTTTCTTACAGGTCAGGGCCACATTAGATAGGGTATGAGTCACTTGTGTCTTTGTCGGGAAGAAAGACAAGACAGAGAAACAGTGATGCACACTAGAAGATTCTTTAAGTGAAATTTTGCACTTAATAGACAGGAAAAATGCATAATTTAGGATTTGTTAAAGCTGGATTATTTTTCCCATTAGATTAAAAAAATATGTATTTTTTTTTGGTTTGCATCCTAACTTAACTGATGATATGTTAGGAACCCCTAAGAAGAAGCCCATCCATATGCTGAAGAAGACCATGGGCTCAATTTCCTGCAGAGGAAGAGTGTTGGACAAAGCATGGAAGCAAGTAGAGTGTGCAGCAAACTGGGACAATATGTGCTTCTGATGCTGCTGTGTAATGTAAGGCAATAAGAGGTTGATTGTATTATCTGAATGGAGAATGTGCCTGTTTGTGCAGTCCTTACTGTATACACAGCCAGAATAGTTGACTCCCTGTAGCTAAAATCCATTCAAATCCTCTACAAGTGACACAGGTAATGAGTAGGTAAATCCTTTGTATAGCATTTTTGATGCTTTTGTAATTATTTTTCTTTTTGTTAACTTTAGAAACATATTTTTTATGGTTGTTATTTTCTGAACTCCTTCATATTGGGTAACAGCGCTATTCCCCCTAGCTTTAAGTGACAAACCTGACAGAGTTAAGGGCCTAATGCCAAAATGCCCACCTATGTGTAAAACCAGAAGAGGCATCAGAAGAGCAAATGAGCACTGTTCTTCCTTCCCTGACTTACACACGTCCCTAGTGACTCTGGCCACATAGTGGGATGCTGATGTGGTCAGACACCATGAGTTTACAAGCTATTCTGTCCTTCTGCTCCCAGCTCTGTGCCCAGGATTTCCAGCCCCAGAAGGAAAGGAAGGGGACCATTACCAGGATCATGTCCCTGGATCATGTCCACCTCTGAGTGATACTTTAACACAAATCATACCTCCACATGGATAAACAGATTCCTTGACTGGCCAGTTTTAAAAGGATTGGAGACATTTTGAGCAGTCCCTTATACCAACTGTTGGTTCCTCCTTCCACTGTTACGGGTAAAGCATCCCTAATCAGAATGGTGAAGAAGGATGAGTGTCAGTTTTGATGGACCCTCCCACCACACTGTGATGGGAAGGGGAAGGCAGCCTTGGATGGGGATTGGTACTGCATTGAAGGAATTTATCTTTCTGCAGTTTTATCCTCAGTGTGCCCTTGACTAAGTCATCAAAAGTGGCCCATTTTTCTCAGATCCTCTGTCTTTTCTGTGCTTAGCTTGGAAGAATTCAGACCGAACATACCAAATAAAGTAGATGTTTGTCTGTCTATTTTAGTGTTCCCCATTGTATTTGGAAGACAATTTTTACCTTTCCTTAATATTTTAAAATAACTTTCAATTTCTAAGGTGGTAAATAAGCATAAGAAACACACACAGTGCCATACATAGCACGATGACTATAATGGAATAATTGGCACCAAGCAAAAGTTACTGCCTTTTAGGATCTCAGATACTGAAATGGTTGAGAATTTTCTGGGTTCATATTTCAAAGAAAATAACTTGTCAAGTAAAGAGATTTAAAAATTAGTGTCTACTTATGCTAAAAATATTAATAGCATTTTTTAATAAAAGAAAGTAATTATCTTTATTTAAAATAAATTATTTAAAATTGTTCTATTTTTTTTGGTAGGAAAATCCTTTATTTTTAGTTCTATTAAAGTATCTGATACTTCTTTTTACTTTGAAAGGAAAATTACTTCAATGGTTCAGATGCTTCAGACAGTAGAGTATCTTGGGCTATCAAAATAGAATACAACAGTCATGATCAGAAACATTTTACTTTAGCATGTAAGCCATTATTTCTATAAAATCATTGATATTCTTAGGATTTAACAGGCATGTTTGGTGAATTTATTTGCATCTTTCCAATGTTTTATGCATTTCTTGTTCCAGTTTCATCTCTGTTATTTCTGTTCCCCTGTCTTTCTTGAATTTATGATTAATGTTTCTTTAGGCAACAAAACAATACATTCCAGACCAAGAGTTATGCAAAGACATAGCAATTTTTTAGAAATAAAACAAGTCAATAAAATACCAGTATATAACAAGTTTCCTCTCCATGCAAGAGATCTTGTAGGCAAAAGTTATGCTTAGACCAAAATAACAACTGTCCTAAAAGGAAAGAAAAATGGAACAGCAAGAGATGTTTGTGGAAAATTCCAGTCACTACCTGGATCTGGATACAATTGCTAAAGAGGACAAAAGAACTAATGGCATGGATTTAATGGATCAAGTTTCTCTTCTGCAGTTCGTCTCTTTATTAATGGCCCATGAAAAGTGAAGACCAAGAGATTTGCACCAAAGAGCTGCCAGAGACTAAACCAACCATTACCTCTTGAAAGATCGCATCGTTGATGCTTTAAATTAAAACTTTATTACCATTGTAAAATGTCCGTGAGTTATGAAATATATGGTTTTCAGGGAGTGGTCATTATTTTTTCAGCTAAAGAAGTGTCCTTTCCCCTTGGGAGCAGTGTGAAATGGAGCCCTCTGTAGGTCTTCCTTAGCTGAGATTCCTGGCCAAAGACTATTCAACTTTTGCCATCCACATCTGGTTCTTTCTTTGTTCTATTTGAAAGCAATGAACCAAGCTTTGGGTCACATCTGCAGGCCCTACTCTAACAGTGAAATAAAAAGAACCATATTTATTTATGGAAGAAAAATAATAGTTTTCCAACTGATCTAAGACAAAGATGGGGTTTGTTTAGCCTGAAGTAAAGGAGACTCAGCGAGGACCTTATCGCTCTGTACAGCTACCTGAACGAATGTTATAGGTGGGTGTTGGTCTTTTCTGTCATGTAACAAGCAATAGGACAAGAGGAAATGGCATCAAGCTGTCTCAGTTGAGGTTTAAATTGGATATTAGGAAACATTTCTTCACTTAAAGTGTGGTCAAGCACTGGAACAGGCTGCCCAGGGATGTGATGGAATCAATGTCCTCAGAAGTGTTCAAAAAACATGTGAATGTGGTGCTTAGGGATAGAGTTTAGTGGTGCAGTGCTGGCTTAATGGTTAGATTGGGTGATCTCAGAGGTCTTTTCCAACCTTAATGATTCTATGATTCTATGATACTATGGTTTAGTGGTGAATATGGCAGTAATAGGTTAGTGGTTGGACTTGATGGTCTTAAAGGTCTTTCCAACCCAAACAATTCTGTGATTCTCTGACTCTATGGTACAGCCTCCTCCTGCATCTAGCACAGGAGTGCCTTGGGAAAAAACCTCCCCTGCCTCAGGCTGCTCTGCACCCACCTGATTTACACCTGAAGGGCAAATACTTTGAGACCTGTATACCATCATGGCCCACAGGGATTTGGATCAGCTGGTTTTGGGGTACAATTCACTAACAGGACTGTTAGTGGCTTAGTGACCACAGCTGGATGGAGGAGCCAGACAGATACCTGTGGAGAGCATTGACTGCCTGTTCGACAACCAAATATTCTTTGTGCGAAGGAGAAGGTAGTATTGTAATGAAGATTCAGAAGTTTGGAGTTCCATACTGTGACTCAGGAGCATTCAGGCTGTCATGGGTTAAGATTGGCCCCCCCTGAGAGTCGGGGGGCTCAGAGGTGATTGGGTGCCGGACAGTGTTCCCTGGAGAGCCAGTTACCACTCGTCTTGTTCGCCTCTGCTAAAAGTCACATATACACAGCACCGGAAGCTGTTGGCAGTGTTTCTGTTGGTGTCTGCTGCGTGTGGGTGTAGAAGGCCAGGGGGTGGCTGGGCTCCTTCTCCCCCCACTCCGAGGGGGAAGGGGAGCTCTGCAGCCCTCCAACTCTGCCTAGGCCAGAGTTAGAGACAGCATTGGAGTGAGTGAGTGTTTGTGAGGGACGTGACTCACAAACAACTGGTAAGCGAGAGAGAGAGAGAGAGAGGCAGGCCTTGCGGCCAGGCCCTCTTCTTCTTTCCCCCACTTTTTGCAGCCAGGCTGCAGAAGGGGGCTGTTTTTCCCTTTCGCTGTTTAGTGGGAGTGAGGCTCAGCATTGAAGCAGATCCAAGTGGACGGGCTGATAATGGAGCAGCTCGGCGCTAGGGAAAAGAATCCCAGGCGAAATTGGAGACAGGCCAAAGGGCTCGGGAGTTGCCCTACAGAGATTTGACTGGGGGCAGCCGAAAACTGACTTGGAGGAATGAAGATTCCAAACGCCTATTGTGATAAGCTACACTACAGCAGCAGTGAACCGAGGTATGAGACTGAGAGGGAGAGATCACACAGCAGAAATGACACAGGACCAAGGAGAAAGGACTCAGAGCTACCTTCTTGGACTTTGTGAGGAAGGAAGGACTTCCACAAACAGCTGGAACTTGATGAGGGGGGAGCGTTTGGGTCCCTGAACACTCCCACGAGAGAGAGACTGGTTACTTATCAGCCTGAAAAGGCTTTTCCTGGACTAAAGTTAAAAAGAGAAGCTTCGAAGAGACTGATAGAAGTGTAATATATATATATATATATAGTTGCTTTTACTTTGTACGATATATTTATTTACGTAAATAAATGTAAATACTTCCCCTTTCCCCTATAGAAGCCTCTGGCCTGAAAGTTTTCTCTTTGTTGTTAGGATAAATTTTGGGAAGGGGTGGGGAAGCTTGGTAATTGGATTTTGGATTTCTAATGTGGCTCAAACTGCCACACAGGCCTAGCTTCAAAATATCGCTGTGCGAGGGAAGTACCTTAATAATTGCTGTGTGCAGAGGCAGAGCTTAGCTCCAAAGAACTACTTTATGCTAGACAAAATTGCTCTCACAGACGCTCAATCACAAGACCTCTTGTTTCTGAATAACAGAAATATTCTCAGCTGAGAAATTTGGTCACTGATAGTATTGAGGCAGCTTGAGAAACAGCCACTTCTCTGTCAGTGGTGGGGAATGTAGCATTTGTAGTTCTTCTGCTCAGGAATTAATGGGACTGCTTTCCAGGACACAGTATAAGGATCTCCTGCAAAAATGATGTAGGTGCCTAAAACAGGCAAAACTAAAGTGCATATACTGAGAACTGTAATTTTGAAATAGTTTTCTTGAATCTTGCTTACATATGGAGGAATCTAAACTCCACAGCTGCCTGAAATTATATGATTGTGTGGTTTTTAATTTTTTTAATTATTTTTTATTTTACAGTGAAAATTGGGTCACTTATGAAGAGTCTTAGAGACTCCGTCTCACCTTCCTGTCCTGCTGGAGATGGTTCAAACATAAATCTCTCACCTTTCCTCCATATGAGAGGCTCAGCCACTGTGATGCTGGTACAGGAGCTGGAGTGTGGTGTGAGTGGGCAGAAAGTGTCTGTTGTCTCTCTAACTGAAGCTGTTCCACTGAACAGAAAAACCTTCTCAAATAAACAGATCAACAAGACCTTGTATCCTCTAGCAGTTTTTACAGTCACCTAGCAGAAATCTGCATACCAACCCTTCACCAACATGCATTTGCATGCCTTTATATTGAAAAATCATTGGAAAATATATTAAAAAATCTGACCCTGTGATCTTTGTTTCCACTTTTTATTAATTGGATTGTGCATAAGTGCTCTGTGTAGGAGGAACATTTATCAGAACTATGAAGCTTTTCTTGCTGAATGGAAAGAAGAAAACATGTTCAATAAGCTGGTGTATGTGTCTCATAAGCTAAGCTTCAAGTTGATCTTAAGATCCCACAAAGTAAAGGGCTGCTTATAAAATATGTCTTAGTTTCAAAGTATGGAATCAAAACCAGTTGTTGGTGGCGATACCTTCTGTGCATCCCTGCTACTATCCACAGAGAAAGAAAGTGCAGGCAGCCTGAGACACTCCCTGATAGTCTATGCATAGCACAGAACTCTCAGAAAAAAACTCAGACAGAAATTTATAATGTTCTTTCTCCCTATCTCTGTCTTGTTCTCTGTCCAGCTGAGGCCTGACTGCACAGGCATCCTGGCTTATACAGCTGAGAAAGTCAGGTCTCAGTGCCTTCCTGGTTTTATGCAAAGATTTTATTTAGACTCTGCTCTGTTTCCTAAATTTGAGCCTTCTGTGCTTTACTGATGTGCATTTACAGCTGGACAATTCCCATTACTGAGCAGCAGTATGCAGAGCTTTTTGTGGGGCTAGAAAATGAACCTGAAACTAAATAAACCATTGTTTATCTCATTATATGCATCTTCAGAGAGCCAAGAGCAACCCACACAGTGCCACTGTTCTGTGGATTAATTCACAGCTGATGAAAGCAGATTGTTCTTTAAAGCAAAAGCTCTATCTTTGGAATGTGCCCTCATGAGCCTCACTGCCCTGCATTACCCAGTGCCTGTAGGAGTCACAAGACCTTCGAAGATGTGCCTGCCAGTGTAGCCTCAGTAAGCACGGTATGCTTTATGCCTGGATAACAAATTTACTTAAATGAGTGTTCACTTGTTGGCTGGCACTGTTTTCCCCTCATTTTGTCAGATGGATGAATGTCATGGCAGCTAAGGACGGATGAAGGTTTGAAATATTACAAACAGAAGCCTTTCACTAAGATAATATAAACCCAATTTTTGCAAGCATATCTCTGAGGAGGAAATAGGCTAGAGATTATAATGAGGATATTTTCTGACTGTAAAATTTTGTTGAGATACAAGCAAAAAGGAAAACAATCCACCCGGTAAACCTATCAAACTTAGCTTAATACTGAAACTCCAGTCTTTCTTAAGACAATACTGTTTGAAATTGCCACATCATTCAATTTTAAGTCATTTGCATACCAAATGCAAAAAAATTATTATCTGGAAACTTTCCCCCTCTACCCTCTGAGACATATGGGAGACAGCAACAGAAATGATGGATGTAGTGGATGATTGCTTGCTGAACCAGTGTGTGAGAAACTATGCTAGGAATAATTCATGTCAAGACATGGTCTTAACTAAAAGACGTATTAAAAACAACATCTTGACAGGTTTAATATCTTGCAAGATACACATAATCCGTGACTTCTAAGGCATGTGATTATCTCAAAACATGATATTTTGGTATAACTTCAATTTTATGAAAAGATCTCAAGAGATGCTTGATCTAATGTTAAATCAACCTTTCACAAAATAAAGGAAACTTCAAGTCATTCTGATGTATGGTACAGCCTCATCTTTATCTAATACTGTTTCAAATCAGTAGTAATTCCTCAGGGAAAATGGAGTAACAATGGGAGGAAACGGGAGAAAGTGACCCAGTAAACAGGATAATGAGACATTTTGGATGAAAATGTGTTTCATATAAACAAAGGATTTGATGCTTTTTCATGCTGAGAACCCACTGATGCCAAAAAATATGCTATGTCTGTTAATACAGCAAATATGTATTTCACGTGTATTTCTGTCACCTGCATTTTATCAAACAGGAAATTTTACAATAATTGAAGTGACAAAAGATTAAGTTGGATGTTTAGCAAATAGGAAAATCTGATGATGTTAACAAGTAAAACTGGCATTTTTTACCACTGTGATTAATTCATGGTTGTGACAGATCAGTACCAGTGACACCATGAGCAAAGATCCTGGGCGAGGGGACAGAGGACTGAGATGGGACATAGGGACAGGCTGAGTTAGCACTGCTTGTGGCCTAGCATGGAATCCTGGGCATGTCAGTTTTCCCATGTCATCTCTTATTTGTCTTACAAGTTGAGGAAGCTGTCCTTGACCAAAGAAATTTTTAAGTATTTTGCACAGTCATTGGCCAGTGAAATCAGCTAATAATGAGTAAAGGCTATAAATATCTTCTACTCTGTAGTGGTTTTTATTAAAGGACAGCATCCCCAAGAACTGAAATAAAGAGAGCTGAGATCAGCATGCTGAAGGGCCAGAGAAATAATCAGTACAGGCATCTCTGAGGCTGGGTATAAAGAAGATTGTCTCTTTTATACTCATCTCTCTAAGATGTGTATCTGCCTGATTTTTGAAATTAAATTGGGTCAAATTTAGCAAATGCTAGAGGAAAAAAATCTTACACATCCTGTAGTGACACAGAGTTTAACAGATGCTGACCAGATGGAAACAGACATTTTTTTTTCAAATGATCTAGTATTGTCAATTGAAAAGTATGCAGTTTTGTGGATTTATTGTGTTCCTCTCTGAAAAAAACTTGCTGGTTCTAACCAGTGGTGTTTTTATCTTTCCATAAATTAGGCAAAGGCTGAGATTTACCTCATCATGAAAGTATAACATACATTCCTGCAAACTAAGAAAGTCATAACATATACCCTGCAGTAATATTCAAAATACCCAGTCCTCTCTTATTGCTATTGTTTATCAGTTTACAAGTCTTGAAGTAATAGAATCCAGATCATAAAATGGCAAATAAAAATTATTTCCTATCCATAATATGTCTTTCTATCTGGCAAGTAAAATCCCAGCTTCCTATATCTTACATGTGAAACAGTGATTTTTTTCTGCCAATGGCTGTATTGTCAGCAGCTTCTTATTAATACCTATAATCCTTTTCTTTGATGCCTTCTGACATCTCATAACTTAAGGAGCGTATATTTCTGTGCATAAACAGTTAGACATAGAATAGAAGGGAGCACAGTTTTAGTGACTCTGAGGAAGACAGTTTGATGGCCAACAGCCCCAGCTTTTGAAGAGTCTGACTTATCTGACTTTACCTGTAAATCAACCTTTAAAATTAACTAATTGATGGAAAAATATGCGAGACCCCCAAAGAGCAATAGGCAAGGAATAATGGAAAAACAACAGACAGAAAAAAAATAAATCAATCTTTGAAGTGAAATAGTATCAGAATAACTATAGATTTCTAAAGAAATCCAGACTTTTATTGAGGAGTCTCTAACTTGCTCACTGTTGTATGAAGGAAAAGTTAAATATTTGGTGTTACAAATTTTGCTAAAATGACCTCTCTGCACACATGCAAGAGACAAAAATTATTCCCATTCAATTCTCAGAGGGAACTTAGACATTCAGAAATTAAATTTTGGAATCTGCCTTTGTAAGGAAAAATCAATATATTGTAACATTGGAGAGGCTAATTCAGTCAAACCACCTTTTTGATGTTTCCCTTGGAACTTTGTGCACTGGAATCCTGACATGGTATGGGAGCCCAGTGCTTGAGAAAAAGAAACATACAGAGTTCTCTGTTTTCAGCTGGTAGGTGTGTGGCATTGTCTTGGCTTCTTCCAAGTCCACAGAAAAAGTCACTTTACATTACCAAAGTGTCTGACCCTAATTAGCCACTTGGGGAGACGATCAGGCTGTGGGCAAAGGCAAGCACAGAAAAAGGCAAAAGAACCATGGAGGATAAGGAAGAAAATTTTTGCTAGTTGAAAGTACGGAGGAACCTCAGTGACAAACACGCTTAATTTCATGGGCTGGGGCAATATGTAAAGCAAGGATTAGGTAAAAGTTTGCTTCATCTTTGAATTTCACCTTTAAAATTATTCAGATCATTATTTCTTCCATATTAAATAATTTGAGGGGTATCTAGATCAGTAACTTTTCTATTCCAATGTGTAAATTTTTATAATATTTATTTTATTTTATTTTATTTTATTTTATTTTATTTTATTTTCCTCCTCCTGAACTGTGCAAAATGACATGCAGGATGGTGAGATAATTAGATCCCACTGGTGAATTTTAATTCTTTTTAGGTTACCACATGAGCAAACTGCAGCACTTCTTATAAACAAAAGGCTAACAACCCAAAACAAAAAAGGAGACTCCATTCTCCCAGCTGGAACAGCAATGTTGATACCTTTTTGTTTAGGGTCTTAATAAGCTGAGGTGGCCCATTCTTTCAGAAGCACTTCTCTGTGTGTCAGACTGATTCAATGTGTCTATGATTTTATAGGTGAGGTGAGTCCAAGCTCAAATAAAACAGGAAATAGAAGTTCTGACAGCAAACATCTAAGCAGTGAGAAAGTACTTTCCTATTTTGTTTCTATTTCGTGTGAGTTTAGAAGACAAGAACAAACAGCAAGAGGTGAAGAAGTAAAAAAAATGGTACTAGAGTAATGAGTTCCCTGTTTAATGCACTCAGCAATAGCTTGCAGACAGATTTCCTTGAGTGCAGTGGATGTATTTTTCTGAAATTAGAAAGGTATAAAACCAACCCATTGGTTTAGTCCCACAGGATGGGATACAAAGCTGAGGCACATCAATAAAAATTGAATTAGATTTAGAGCTCTGCCCTATTACCTAATTATAGCATGGTTAGAGATATATGGTAATTTATCAATAAAGAGAGACCTATTGAACATGTTAGTCATAGGCTTCACGCTGGAGACTATTTTCATTAATCAAGCAGCTAGATAGTTACCCTCATCACCTTACTTTTAAAGAAAGGCGAGTTAAGTTTCTCCCGTAGAGTTGGTTCTGTCTAAGTGTTCAGCCAGAATATACATGAGTGAAGAAAAAAACATTCTTTGTTTACGTGGGAGACCATGTTTGCAGCTTGTGTTAGTCTAGTGGCTCCAGCAAGTTTACAGCAGACTGGAAGTTAGCTCTGCATTTTATCATCATCATGACTGGGCTTTGCGAACGAAGATTTGGGAAGGGCTCTATCCACATTTGTTACAGGTGCGCTGGTGGCTAAAAAGGCCAATACGAGACAGGCACGTCAGGTTGCAAAAGGCACAGCAGAAAGACCCCTTAGGTGGTATATTCTGCAAGACACGGTTCTTTCTGCGTTGTCTTTTCTCCTCAAG